AAGGAGAGCATTAATCAGAGAAGCAGCCAAGAGGCCCATGGTAACTCTGGAGGAGCTGCAGAGATCCACAGATCAGGTGGGTGAATCTGTCCACAGGACAACTATTAGTCATGCACTCCACAAATCTGGCCTTTATGGAAGAGTGGCGAGAACAAAAAGCCATAGTTGAAAGAAAGCCATAAGAAGTCCCATTTGCAGTTTGCGAGAAGTCATGTGGGGTACACAGCAAACGTGGAAGAAGGTGTTCTGGTCAGATGGGACCAAAATCGAACTTTTTGGTCTAAAAGCAAAACGCTATGTGTGACAGAGAACTAACACTGCATATCACCCTGAATGCACCATTCCCACTGTGAAACATGGTGGTGGCAGCAGCATCATGTTGTGGGGATGCTTTTCTTCAGCAGGGACAGGGAAGCTGGTCAGAGTTGATGGGAAGATGGATGGGGCCAAATGCAGGGCAATCTTAGAAGGTAACCTGTTAGAGTCAGCAAAAGACTTGAGACTGGGGTGTAGGTTCACCTTCCAGCAGGACAACCACCCTAAATATACAGCCAGAGCTACAATGGAATGGTTTAGATCAGGGGTCCTCAAACTTTTTAAATGGGGCCAGTTCACGGACCTTCACACTGTTGGGTAGGGCTATAGTTTGAAAAAAATATGAATAAATTCCTATGCACACTGCACGTATCTTATTTGTAGTGCAAAAAGCAGGAAAGAAACAATACAATATTTAAAATGTACTGGACACCGCAATGCACTGTACACTGTAATGCACTGGACAGACCGCGAACGATGGTTCTACAAAGTATTGACTGAGGGGGGCTGAATACAAATGCATGCCACACTTTTCAGATGTTTTATTTGTAACACATTTTGAAAACCATTTATCATTTTTCGTCCACTTCATAATTATGTGCCACTTTGTGTTGGTCTATCACATAAAATCCCAATAATATATATTTTTGGTTGTAACATGACAAATGTGGAAAATTTCAAGGGGTGTGAATACTTTTTCAAGGCACTGTAAGTATTTAATCCTCTACCAACCAACGATAATTTTGGCTCCCACAGACTGGCTATGTGCTCATGTGACACACTAGTCCTGTCAATTTAAGAAGGTGCTCCTACCAATAGCTTGTTATGTGTATAAAAGACACCTGTTCACAGAATCTTTCTTCCATTTAAACCTCACCACCATAGGCAAGACCAAAGAGCTGTCAAAGGACATCAGGGACAAGATTGTAGACCTGCACCAGGCTGCATCAGCAAGAAGCTTGGTGAGAAGGAGAGAACTGTTGGAGCGATTATTTGCAAATGGAAGAAATACAAAATAACCCACAGTTTCCCTCAGTCTGGAGCACAATGCAAGATTTCACTTCATGGGGTAAGGATGATCATGAGAAAAGTGAGGGATCAGCGCAGAACTACACAGGACGAGCTTGTGAATGATCTCAAGGCAATTGGGACCACAGTCGCCAAACAAACCATTGATAACACTACGCCGCCATGGATTGAAATCCTGTAGTGCCCATAAGGTCCCCTTCCTCAAGAAAGTACATGTACGTCTTTTGGGGAAGAAAAATGCTGACTATGACCCTAAGAACACCATTCCTACGGTCAAGCACGAAGGTGGAAACATTGTTTTCGGGCTGTTTCTCTGCTAAAGGTACAGACCAACTTTACCACATTGAGGGGCCAATGGACTAGGCCATGTATTGTAAAATCTCGGATGAGAACGTCTTCCCTCAGCTAGGACACTGAAGAAGGATCGTGGATGGGTTTTCTAGTATGACAATGACCCAAAACATAGCGCCAAGGCAACAAAGGAGTGGCTCATGAAGTAGCACATTAAGGCCAGTCTCCAGACCTTAATCCTATAGAAATTTATGGAGGCAGCTGAAACTTCAAGTTGCCAAGCAACAGTTAAGAAACCATAAGGATTTAGAGAAGATCTGTAAAGAAAAGTGGGCCAAAATCCCTCCTGAGATGTGTGCAAACCTGGTAACCAGCTACAAGAAACGGCTTATCTCTGTTATGTTTTGCTTTGGGATCAAATACTTATATTACTCACTGAACTGCTACTCAATTTATAGCATTTGTATCATATTTTTTTTTCTGGATTTTTGGTTGATATTCTTTCTTTTTCATTTAAAATATACCCATGATAAAAATAATAGACCCTACATTTCTTTGTAAGTGGGCGAACTTACAAAATCTGCAGAGGATCAATTAATAATTTTCCCTGCTGTATCTTCTGTAATACATTTTACTGTCAAATGTCAGTCTCTCCCTTTCATCAGGACAGTGTCTCTTAAGGAACTCTAATGGAACCATTTATGCTTGACAGGCTTTGCATAAAGGGTAGTCTATCCCACCTGCTTGCACCCATTCACCTACCGCACAGTTATCAGCACCCTGACCCACCTTTTCATCACCAGATCAAGAGACCAGCACCCTTATGTTTCTATCTTTTTCAAGTGTTTTGTGCTGCAAGATCTCCTCTTTAGTGTACAGTGCATTCTGTTGACCAGTGTGCAGTGCATTGCAGTGTCCAGTGTATTAGAGTACAGTGTGTTAGTGTTCCATCTTTTGGACTCAAAGCACACTTTACCTGAAAATAGGATATTGGTGAAAAGCAATATGTAGTCTACAGCAGTCTTTCTCTCCCCCCCCCTTTTTTTATTTTTAACATGGAGGAACCCTTGAAATAGCTTTTAAGTCTTTAGTGAACCCCTGTCAATGATTACTACAGCTACAGTTTACTGAGCATTAGTGTAAAACAGAGTTTCTCAACCAGGGTTCCTCCAGAGGTTGCTAGGGGTTCCTTGAGCAATCACCAATTTCTGCCTTTCGGGTAAGTTCCCACTGACACCATTGATCTTTTTAGCAATCTGTAATTCTTCTCAATGACCACAAATGTAAGGAGCATTCTTACACTTGACTATCACACCAACGTATCATGAATTGTAGATATAGCCACTTTTAGCAGGGGTTCCCTGAGACCGGAAAGTTATGTCAAGGATTCCTCTGCGTTGAAAAGGTTGAGAGAGGCTGGTGTAAACGGTACATTGAGACGTAAGAATGAATAAAAGCAAAACAGATATTACATACTTTGACACCCATTGCTGCCCTATGCAATAAAATGATTTGCTATTGGTGGTCAGTGAAATGCTTAGATTAGTGGTCATTGTGAAGAATGCCCCTTACATTGGTGCTCAGTGAAATCTCCCTTAGATTTGGGAAATTCTCCCTTAGACTGGTGGTCACTGAGAAGAATACTGCTTTCATTGGTGGACATTGAAACGTTCCTTTAGATTGGTGGTTGGTGGGAAAAATGCCCCTTGCATTGTTGCTCAGTGAAATTCACTCATAGATTGGAGGTCCTTGTGAGGAATGCGCCTTAAATTGGTGGTCTGTGGGAAGAATGCTCCTTACATTGATGGTCTGTGGGAAGAATGCTCCTTAAATTGGTGGTCTTTTGGAAGAATGCCCTTTGCATTGGTGGTCTGTTGGAAGAATGCCCCTTACGTTGGTGGTCAGTGAAATTCTCCTTTAGATTGCTGGTCATTGTGCAGAATGCTCCTTACATTGATGGTCTGTGGAAGAATGCTCCTTACATTGGTGCTCATTGAAATTCTCCCTTTACATTGGTGATCAGTTAAATTCTCTCTTAGATTGGTGGTCTTTGGGAAGAATGCCTCTTGCATTGGTGGTCTTTGGGAAGAATGCCTCTTGCATTGGTGGTCTTTGGGAAGAATGCCTCTTGCATTGGTGGTCTTTGGGAAGAATGCCTCTTGCATTGGTGGTCAAGAATGCCTCTTGCATTGGTGGTCAGTGAAATGTTTCCTTAGATTGGTCTGTGGGAAGAATGCCCCTTACATGCTCTTTACAGATAATGTTGCCCCTTGGAAGACATCCCATCGGATAAAACGCATAGGGTAGAGCCTAGTGGTGACGTTATGTCTGCCCAGAGAGCCAGTTGGCACTTGTGATATGCTCTTGTTTCTTTGCGGTTAGTGAGTACATGCTAATTTTATAATAAACTACACAATCTGCTTCCCTTGTTTCCTTACTGGTATGGGTGGTGGTGTTTGCCATTAGTGTGAGGTACGTCTGGTGGTTATCTGTGGAGTACTTCTGGAGAAGAAGGCTAAGCTACTGCTCACAATAACGGGTTGAATGCGGTGACCATCCATCCATCTGGGGTTTTTTCCCCCCGAGAGCACTGTTAGACCTCCTTCGTGCTGGGGTCTGAATGTTTGGTAAGCTGCTGCATGACCATAAGTTGGCTGGTGCACTTTTATCGGTGGACTTCGTGACACCTAATTCTTAGTGGACTTCAGTATTACATATTTACATGTTTGAATGTATTTTGTGATTTCAATGTATGCACATTGGTTAATTTGTTTTGAATGACAGGGCAACACATATTTTAGGTTTTATGCTTACATTTGTGGTCAGTGAAATACTCCCTTAGATTGGTGGTCTGTAGGAAGAGTGCTCCTTGCATTGGTGGTAAGTGAAATTCTCCCTTAGATTGATCAGTGTGAAGAATGCACCTTTTACAGATAGCTTGAAAAAACATTGGCATAGTTAGTTACTTATGAGAGTCAGAAATTGTTCATTACTTAAGGGAACCGTTGTCAACCTGTGGAGGAATCTTAATGTTCCACAGATCCCTGGATGAGAAGGGCTGATCTAGAATCTGTAGTCTGTGTGTATAATCCTACATTTAAAACCTCAGAACCATCTTAAATGCACAGTTTTTATCTGCAGTGTTCTGGAATTTACTTTACAAATGCCGAAGCCTATGGCTATCTTTGACCAATTTGTGCTGTACATTGTTTCCTTTTTTTTCGAGTCAATAACACTTTACCAGTCTTGGATCTCAGATCTGTCATTAGATATTTGTTTACTGTCCTAAATTTAGAGAGCAGGGAGTGGTTTTCAAGGCTTTTTCTGGAAACCTTTCATTAATGTTGGCTTGTTTTTTTTTTTATCTCTTTGCAGGAGCTGGGGAGTCAGGGAAAAGCACAATTGTCAAACAAATGAAGTAAGTCTCACTTTTTGTTTCTCTCAAGTCCTAATGCACACTGTATGTTTTTACAGCTGTTTTTTGTCTTTTGGCTTTTTTTTTTTACAGCCAGTAAACTCCCCAGCATGTTATCCTATGTGTCCATGCGCACATAGGCTTTAATCTGCGTTTTTTGGCTGGGAAAAAAAAAAAACAGAACTAGTAGGTTTCGAGAGGAGTTTTTTAGCTGTAAAAATGCTCTAGTGCTGGTAAATGCGGAAAATTGTGGCAAACCAACAAAACTTTTATTTTTTATGTGTAAAATACGCAAATGCGGAAAAACACAGCTAAACACTAATGCTAAAATGCTGAAAAACTCGCATTTATAACGCAACTTTACACATCTAACGCTACCAGCGTTATTAAAATGCCCATTGTGCATGGAGCCTAAATTTCTGATTCGTTCATTAGAATATTGTATAAACAATCTAGCATCTCTTTTTTTTTTTTTTTTTTCTTTTCTTACTTTGACTTCCTTTTTGATTTCAAGTTGTAAGCCCCATAATGGCATTTGCTATTAATATATGTATTTACAGTTCTTTATAGGAAATGCATGTGGTCATGTCCCTCCCCTGTTAATTGGATTAATTACTGTACCTTCAGTTAGAGAGCTAGCAATCTACACACCCTGTGCACGTTTTCTTTACCTTTTTGATTGGCAGCTCCATAGTTGGATGATTGCTACCACTAATTTTCATTTGTATTGGGGATCACAGTAGTAGCAATGCAGTTTGATCAATTAAAAGGGCATCACATGCAGTCTACAATTCTTCTAAAACCCATTCTTTACAGCTTCTGTTATGGTTATTTCATGATGCAGTAGTAGTAATTTTGAATGAATTAGGAAACATTAATATCCTGTCAATAGCATTGGTGACAGCTAATATTAATGTGGTTACAGCATCAATGTTAAGTGGTGACAGCACGGCGCTCTGTATTCTGCGTCATACTATGTTCCCTGAATGCAGAGCAATCACTGCACATGCGCAGGTGACGTCATCGGCTATTGCTGATATAAATATCTCCTAATCGATACACGTTTAGGAAATATTCATTGGGCCTACAGGTAAGCCTGATTGTAAGCTTACCTGTAGGTACAACTTAAACAATAGCTTTTACTACCACTTTTCAGATATATTGTTAGCTATTAGTTGGGTATGCTTTTAACCATTGAGAGCACAGCTTTGGTAAAGTCCTCTAAATTGTACTGCTAATGCCTTCCAATACTGTAAGGGTACTTTCAGAAGAACATATCAATCAGATTCTTCAGTCAGTCAGATTTCTCAGTTTTTCAGGCAGATCTGAAAGGAAGCATTAATGTTAGTTTATGGGCAGGGCAGATGTAAACAGATGTTTGCAGTGTGGCGGATTGGATGTAAATGGATACACATTTGTTTATATCCAGTTGTCTATAGACATAACATGGGTCCTTTTGGCTCTGACATCTGTATCCATTCAGTTTGTTTTCAAATGTGACATTTGTTTCATTCCTTCTGCTCTGATTCTGCAGGAGATCTGCTCACAAATCCCCTACTTATCAGCATAGACACAAACTGTTTGAAGGGGGCCTTAAAGCGTATCTCTGGTCAACATTTAGGCCTCGTGCACACGAAGCATTAAGAATGCTGCTTTTAGGGGTGCCTGGCGGGGTTTTTTTTTTTTTTTTTTTTACATTTTAAATGCTTCTCTGTGTTTGCTTAACCTCTAAACGCCAGTGCCTCCTGGCCCTTTAAGGGGTTTCAAATGCTGGGAGGTGGGGCAGAGTTTTAGGGTCATGTGACCACTGTGATTTTTCTGTCACGGCGGTCACATGATCGGAAAAGGTCCTGATCGCAAGGGGAGATCAGGACCTTTCCGTGAGACATTGACAAGTACTGGGAGCGTGCAGGGCGCACACTCTCAGCGCGTGTTTTCAAATGGTACGCAAATATGCGGCCGCTCAGCGTCAAGGTCCAGCCGCCGAGAGGCCGCATATTACATACAGTCGGTGGTCCATGCACACATTGGCGTTTAGAGGCAGAAAAAACTCACTGCCAGCACATCCAGGAGCAGCAGCTCCTGCCCATTAATGCTAGTCGTGTCAGTTGCCTGAGCGTTAATTTCAGTGGACAGGGTAAATTATTATTCTGGCCAATTAAATGTATTCAAGCCCAAGCATTGGTGTGTCTAGCAAAGACATTTTTTACTGGATATGTTTTATAGCACAAAGTCAAAAATATGTTTTGTTTTTTTTTTGTCAATTTTTTGATTATAGCACATATAGCACAAAAAATAAATGTAGAGGTGATCAAATACCACCGTAAGAAATCTAGTTGTGGGGGAAAAAAAGGCCATAAATTTAATTTATATACAGCGTTGCATGACCATGCAATTGTTAGTTAAAGTAATGCAGTGCCGTATTGCAAAAAAATGGCCTGGTCAGGAAGGGGGGTAAATCCTCTGGAGGGCAAGATGGTTAAGAGACCTTATTACAAATTGTTTTGGGATGCTTTTTAACTGCTTTCCCCCGCCGCCCTATAGCAGATATACTGCTACAGGGCGGCAGGGATGATCAAAATCACGTGTGTGTATGTATACGTGATTTTGCATTTCCGGGTAGGGGGTGTGCGCCCTAGCCTGTCAATCACTGGGTCCTGGCCGGTGATTACCCATCTCCAACGGCGAGGAGGACTGTTTTGTTTACGAACAGTCCTCCTCCCTGTCATCTCGGACACCCTGCACATCTTTGATAGCCCCTCATGTTAACCCCTTTTTGCTCAGTGCCATTAGTACAGTGTCGGTGCTTTTTTTTTTTTTTTTTTTTTTCAGCACTTTTCACTCTATTGGTGTCACTAGGGATGTCAGTATCAGAATGTCTGCCGCAGTCCCGCTATAAGTCACTGATCGCCGCCATTTATTACTAGTGAAAAAAAAAAAAAAAAAATGTCCAGTATCTATACCGCCATTTGTAAACGCTATAACTTTCAAGTAAACTAATTAATTTACACGTATTGGGATTTTTTTTTTTAGCAAAGACATGTCACAGAATACATTTTGCTCACAATTTATGACGAAATGTGATTTAAATTTTTCTACTGGACATGTTTAATAGGAGAAAGTGAAAAATATTGGGGTTTTTTTTTTTCTCAAAATTGTCTGTTTTTTTTTTTATAGTGCAAAAAATAAAAAACGTACAGGCGATCAAATACCACCAAAAGAAAGCTCAATTCGTGGGAAAAAAGGACATGCAGTGCATCCAGAAAGTATTCACAGCGCTAAATGTGCACATTTTGTTATGTTACAGCCTTATTCCAATATGGATTAAATTCATTTTTTTCCTCAACATTCTACAAACAAAACCCCATAATGACAACATGAAAGAAGTTCGTTTTGAAAACTTTGCAATTTATTAAAAATAAGAAACAAAAAAACCCCACATGTACATAAGTATTCACAGCGTTTGCCATGACACTCAAAATTGAGCTCTGGTGCATCCTGTTCCCACTGATCATCCTTTAGATGTTTCCACAACTTGATTAGAGTCCACCTATGGGAAATTCAGTTGATTGGACATGATTAGGAAAGGCATAAACCTGTATATATAAGGTCTCACAGTTAACAGTGCATGTCAGAGCACAAACCAAGCCATAAAGTCCAAGGAATAGTCCGTAGACCTCCGAGACAGGATTGTATCAAGGCACAGATCTAGGGAAGGATACAGAAAAATTTCTGCAGCATTGAAGGTCCCAATGAGCACAGTGGCCTCCATCATCCATAAATGGAAGACATTTGGAACCACCAGGAATCTTCCTAGAGCGGGCCTCGCCGGCCAAAATGAGCGATCAAGGGAGAAGGGCCTTAGCCAGGGAGGTAACCAAGCATCCTATGGTCACTCTGAAAGAGCTCCAGCGTTTCTCTGAGGAAAGAGGAGAGGCTTCCAGAAGAACAACCATCTGTGTAGCACTCCACCAATCAGGTCTGTATGGTAGAGGACCAGACGGAAGCCACTCCTCAATAAAAGGCAAATGGCAGCCTGCCTGGAGCACCTGCAGGACTCTGACCGTGAGAACCAAAACTCTCTGGTCTGATGAAACAAAGATTGAACTCTTTGGCTTGAATGTGAACCGTCATGTCTGGAGGAAACCAGGCACTGCTCACCACCTGGCCAATACCATCCCTACAGTGAAGCATGGTGGTGGCAGCATCATGCTGTGGGGATGTTTTTCAGCGGCAGGAACTGGGAGACTAGTCAGGATTGAAGGAAAGATGAATGCAGCAATGTACAGAGACATCCTTGATGAAAACCTGTTCCAGAGCGCTCTGGACCTTAGACTGGGGCAACGGTTCATCTTTACACTTGACAATGACCCTAAGCACACAGCCCACACCACAAAGGACGTGCCAACTTTGTGAATTTCCTGGAGTGGCCCAGACTTGAACCTGATTGAACATCTCTGGGTAGATCTGAAAATGGCTGTGCACCGATGCGCCCCATCCAACCTGATGGAGCTTGAGAGGTAATGCAAAGAAGAATGGGAGATATTGCCCAAATATAGGTGTGCCAAGCTTGTAGCATCATACTCAGAACGACTTGAGGCTGTAATTGGTGCTAAAGGTGCTTCAACAAAGTATTGAGCAAAGGTTGTACTTATGTACATGTGTTTTTTTTTTCCTTTTGTATTTTTAACTAATTGCAAAGATTTCAAAACAAACTTCTTTCACGTTGTTATGGGGTATGGTTTGTAGAATGTTGAGTAAAAAAAATGAATTTAATCCATTTTAGAATAAGGCTGTAACATAACAAAATGTGGCAAATGTTAAGCACTGTTAATACTTTCTGGATGCACTGTAAATTTCATTTTTGTGCAGCGTTTCATGACCGCGCAATTGTCAGTTACAGTAATGCAGCGCCGTAACGCAAAAAGTGGCCTGGTCAGGAAGGGGGGTAAGTGGTTAGGTTTTTGTTTTGAATGTTTCTTTTTTCTGTTTCAGAATTATCCATGAAGCTGGCTACTCAGAAGAGGAATGTAAACAGTACAAAGCTGTGGTATACAGTAACACCATACAGTCCATTATTGCCATTATTAGAGCTATGGGCAGATTGAAGATCGATTTTGGTGATCCAGCCAGAGCTGTAAGTACTGCCAATTTGTGGATGCTGCAATGAAAGGTTAAGCCTTACTAAAGCTGATATTTCAGTTTTTGTGTTTGCGTCAATAAGTTGAGTTACAATGAATCCTTTCTTGCTATGAATTTCACTTTTTAGGAATTTTACACCTCTGTATCATATATTACAGTGGGTCAATCAGGGGGTTGAAACACATCATTTGGCTCTGTAAAACTCCTAGCTGTTGAGTAGAGCTGGAAGTTTTGCAGGCTGATAGTCTGTCAGTGGTGTTCTGAAAAATATATGTAAAGCAAAAAAAAAAAAAAAAAGTGCGTGTTTTCAGCTTTTCAGAAAAGGAAAACATTTGCGGGTGTTTTTTTTTTTTTTTTTTTTTTTTTTTTAGAGTTTTTAAAGTGGTTGCATACCCTTACATATACCCAGTGAAGTGACGATCCTAAGGTGATCAGAGAAACAAATCCTCCTGCATAAATTGTACCTGTTTATCTGCAGTGTTCTTTTTTCTACATCCGTTCAAAGTCAAGAATTTATACAGCTTACAAATGGTGAAGTGCTAAGCAAATATCCAAAGTGCAATATTAATATATATCAAACTTTAAATAAATTAAGGCTGTGCTAAAAATCTAAATCCATATATACGTTAAAAAAAAAAGTGCAATATGAAATACATAAACACTCCAGTGATTGATATGAGATAACAATCAATATAATCAAAGTGATACCGGAAGTACGTCACGGCGCTCTACGCGTTACACCACGGTGTACACGTGGCTTCTTCAGGATCCAGTGACGTACTTCCAGTGGAGAGCGGAGACGCACTTCTAGTTCCTGCCCGACGCCATCTTGGTACACCTTTATCCCCTAGTACACCCATAGCACATGGGAAACAGCAAGAGTGTACAGGAAGCAATGTGAGTGTCCATCTGTTTGGTGTTTTTTATACTTATTAAACAGTATTGCACTATGGAGGTCTCTTTTGTTTATTCCTCCATATACATCCACTTAACTTGAGTCCTATGGTACGGAGTATTTAGTTGAGAGACGCTAGTCGCTGAGTGGAATCGTAGTGGAGCCAGAGGAGCCAAATGTGAAATCCGTCCAGTTGTGGGATACCTAAAGTGCTTTGGCCCCGAGGGGTCGAGGCTAGGAGGCACTCTAGCCATTCAAGGATTATCTCATTAGAGTGTCACCAAGAGCACTTATATACAGTTGCAAGAAAAAGTATGTGAACCCCTTTGGATTACGTGGAGTTTTGCATGAATTGGGCATAAAATGTGCTCTGAACGTCATCTAAGTCACAACAATAGAAGAACACAGTCTGCTGAACATAATACTATACACAAACATTAGATGTTGCCATGGTTTAATTGCACATAACATGTAAACATTCACAGTGCAGGGAGGAAAAAGTATGTGAACCTTTGGACTTAATAACTGGTTGACCCTCCTTCGGCAGCAATAACCTCAACCAAACGTTTCCTGTAGTTGCAGCTCAGACCTGCACAACGATCTGGAGTAATTTTGGACCACTCCTCTTCACAAAACTGTTTCAGTGTAGCAATATTCTTGGGATGTCTGGTGTGAATCGCTCTCTTAAGGTCATGCCACAGCATTTCAATCGGGTTGAGGTCAGGACTATGACTGAGCCACTTATTCTGTGCTGTTGCAGCCATTGTTTTGTTGAATTACTTGTATGCTTTGGGTCATTGTCCTGTTGCATCACCCATCCTCTGCGGAGCTTCAGTTGGTGGACAGATGGTCGTACCTTTTCCTGCAAAATGTCTTGATAAACTCTGGAATTATTTTCCCATCAATGACAACAATCCCTCCAGGCCCTGAGGCAGCATAGCAGCCCCAAACCATGATGCTCCCTCCGCCATGTTTCACAGTGGGGATGAGGTTTTGATGTTGGTGTGCTGTGCCTTTTTTTCTCCACACATAGTGTTGTGTGTTCTTCCCAAACAACTCAATCTTGGTTTCATCTGTCCACAGTATATTTTGCCAGTAGTGCTGTGGAACATCCAGGCATGCTCTTTTGCAAACTTCAAACGTGCTGCAATATTCTTTTTGGACAGCAATGGCTTCTTCCGTGGTGTCCTCCCATGTACTCCATTCTTGTTTAATGTTTTCCTTATTGTAGATGTGTCAACAAAAATGTTAGCATGTGCCAGAGATTTCTGTAGGTCTTTAGCTGACACTCTGGGATTCTTCTTTACCTCATGCAGCATTCTGCGCTGTGCTCTTGCAGTCATTTTTACAGGACGACCACGCCTAGGGAGAGTAGCAACAGTGCTAAACTTTCTCCATTTGTAGACAGTCTGTCTTACTGTGGACACATGAACATCAAGGCTTTTGGAGATACTTTTGTAACCCTTTCCAGCTTCATGCAAGTCAACAATTCTTGATGGTAGGTCTTCTGAGAGCTCTTTTCTGCGAGGCATGGTCCACATCAGACAGTGCTTCTTGAAACCAGTAAACCCAAAACAGGTGTGTGTGTTTTTTAAGGGCAGGACAGCTGTCAGCAACACATCCAATATCATCACACTGATTGGAGTCAAGGTTGGCTCACTCCTGGCTCCAATTAGCTCTGGGAGAAGTCATTAAGCTAGGGCCTCACATATTTTTCCTTGCACTGTGAATGTTTACATGTTATGTGCAATTAAACCATGGCAACATCTAATGTTTGTGTATATTATGTTCAGCAGACTGTGTTCTTCTATTGTTGTGACTTAGATGACATTCAGAGCACATTTTATGCCCAATTCATGCTAAACTCCATGTAATCCCAAGGGGTTCACATACTTTTTCTTGCAACTGTATTTTGGAATGAAGAAGTGAAGCGCTTTGTATTACTTTGGGCACATTCATCATTTGCACTATTTAGTAACACTATTGGGACTGCATCTGATTATATAATTTTTTTTTATTTTGAGCACTAGCCACTTTTAATACCTGGAGAGTGGGATCACTGTTTTCTCTTTACTGCATTTATCTGGATAGCCACAAGGTTGGCAGACCAGGCATTTGATTTTTGCACTTTATACATTGTTATATATATTTATTAAGCATGTATCACTTAGATTATATTGATTGATATGAGATAACAATCACTGGAGTGTTTATGTATTTCACATTGCACTGTTTTTTTTTAACGTATATATGGATTTAGATTTTTAGCACAGCCTTAATTTATTTAAAGTTTTATATATATTAATATTGCACTTTGGATATTTGCTTAGCGCTTCACCATTTGTTGGAATATCCTGTGGTATAGGGAATAGGTGATAGCTGCTGGCACAGTTATTAGAAGTGTTGAGCGCAGGAGGATTTCTTTATAATTTATAAAGCTTGTCTGAGCTTCCAGGAAACGGGGCAAAGAGCTGAAATTACACTCTGCATTTACACTCTGCATAGGAGGAGGAAGGAACAGGCCCCCTTCCACCTCCTCCTTCTTACAGCAAACATAGATGAGGCTGTCAATCACAGGCTGTGTTCTGGAGATCCCTCCCCCACTTTTTTTTTTTTTTTCTTGGTAGCAGGAAAACTTGTCGGTAGTGACTCCTGCAGATAGCAGAGGAACAAATCAGAAAACTGAAATTACATTTAGTGCTCTGGATTGAGACAAATACACACTATAGAGGGATAGGCTTTGTTAAAATGTAATGTCTGCGGTTTACAACCACTTTTAAAGCAAGTCTTTGTATAAATAGTGTTTAAATAGTATTTAAATAGAATTCTAAACAAAATGGTTGTCCCATGTGAAAATAAATATACTACACTATAGTGGTTTCTATGTGGCTTCTTTGTGTTCACCCTATAGATTAAATACAGCAGTACAGTGAATCTTTAATCTATAGGTCAATGTATGAAGGTGAAGATCCATCTAGAATCGTGTGCGTGATGATGCACATTAACATATGAAACGGCTTGCAGCAGCAGAAGTATGTTTGATTATTAACATTGGTGTGGAAGAGATTTTGGAATGGTTTGTTTGCACCTTTGAGAGACTACACATACTAAATATTGGTTTATTTATCTGTGTGATATAATTGTGGCTGATGTCACATTCATAGATATGGTAACACATGCTACTTGATTTTTCAGCAGCACAACACATTTTTCTGTTTTAGTATTTAAATAGATCATTTTACCAACTTTAAAAAATGATTGATAAAAACACAAACTCAGGATTTTTAAAAGCTTACTTGCAGTGTTTTTTCTTCCCACAAATGACTGTTCTAGGACAAATCTGTTCCCTAGCACAAGCCCTGTCCATCTTTGCATGTCATAGCTCTCTCCTCTTCTAGGACTGTTTATTCTCTGTGCTCTCCCAACTCCTCCGCCTCTCCCCTCACTTTCCTATATAATCTTTTATATAGCAGCCTGGGTGGTAGCTAAAGGAAGTACTATATATCAGGGGTAGGCAACCTTGGCACTGCAGCTGTGGGGAAACTACAAATCCCATCATGCCTGTCAAACTGGTAGGAATTAGTAGTTCCACAACACCTGGTGTGTCAAGGTTGGCTTCCCTTGCTATAGAATGTTGTTTAAGTGACAGCTCATAGTCTGTTGAGGTTGCTGAAATCACATCCATTATAACAGCAGCAGTCTCAGGGCTTTTGAGTATCTACACGGGGGGGTTTACAGATCAATGACATACATAAAATACATTCAATGCAGATGTAATCTTGTGTAAAGATTTTTTTATTTTTTTTTAATGAATAATCCGGGGACAGGGTTTAATTAAAGTGGTAGTAAATGATTAACGTGTTACTAAACCCAGGAGCTTGCATTCACTTTGTCTGGTTTCCCACAGTACACGGAACATGGAAATGCAATTATTTTAGTAAACTGCTAAATACCTTTTCTCATCAATAGTTAAAGCAGTCTTGTGACTTCTATCAGTGTTCAGCCAAACACTAGCTAAAGCTTGTAGGAGGAGTTTTCTTTCTGCTCTAGGAGGATTCAAAACCCCCTGACCTCTGTCTGGACAGTGCTGATTGGCCCTG